CCCCCCCCCCCTTCTGATCTTTATTTCCTTTCTAGTACTTGCTTTAGGTTTAATTCACTCTTCTTAAGGGAAGCTTAGATTATTGATGTGAAACCTTTCTTTTCTAATACAGGTATTTAAACCTCTGAATTTTCCTCTAAGGGCTATTTAAGTCATATCTTATAAGTTTTGATATGCTGTGTTTTTGTTTTCATTTAGTTCAAAATAATTTCTAATATCCCTTGTGACTTCTTTTTTGACCCATAGGTTATATAGAAATAGGCCACTTCATTTCCAACTATTAAGGATGTTCAAAATTTCTTTGTTGTTTAACTTTTTGTCATTGGAGAATATACTTTGAATGATTTAAATCCTTTTAAGCTTCTTGAGGCTTGTTTTATGGCCTGGTATATAGGGAAGCTGTTTTCACTGCCATCCCTGCCCTGTTAGCATTACCTCACCCATCAAGCTGGGGAAGAGAGTGGGAACCCCAGGTAAGAATATCTGAGAGCCCCAATGATCTTCCAAAGTCCAGCAGCCTCTCAATTTGTTGCTTCCCTTTGGTTGACTTACAGAGCCCTGAAGTGGTTGTTTTTCGTTATCTTTCCCTAGTTTTATAGTTATCTTGGGGGGAGGGATGGAATTGCTGACCTCTTCACATTACCAGCAGTTCCTTTATTTTTATTTATTCTGCTTAGTACTGGAGTTCTATCTCTTTTCTATGTACTTATTTTCCCCAATTTTTTATCTTGAAAACTTCATAATCTATAGAAAATAAATACCTATATACCCTTTATTTAGATTTACTCACTGTTAAGTTTTCACATTTGCTTTATATTTGTGTATATACATATACATGCATGTATGTAACGTATAAATATATATATATATATATTTCCTTAACTATTAAAGTTAGTTGCAGATATCATGACAATTCATCCTTAAACACTTCAGCATGCATCTCCTAAGAACAAAAATATTTTCTTACATAAACACAATAGTCATATTTAGGAAACTGAATATTCATAAACATACAGTCTATTAAAATTGCTCCGATCGTCAGTAATGTATTATAACTTTTAAAATTTTTATTTATTTTTAATTCTCACCCGAGGATATGCTTACGGATCTTTTTAGAGAGAGGGAAAGGGAGAGAGAGAAACATTGATGTGAGAGAGAACATTGATTGGCTGCCTTCCATACATGCCCCAGTTGGGGATCGGACCCAGCCTAGGTATGTGCCCTGACCAGCAATCAAACCCGCAGCCTTTTGGTGCACAGGATGACACTCCAACCAACTGAGCCACACCGGCCAGGGCATCTTTTTTTTTTTAGATCTTTGCCATTTACCTTCAAACAGGTCTCACTCTTCTACCATGATGGAAAGTACTCAGCCAGTAATTAATTATTAATTCATTCAACAAGCACGAAGTGTAGCAATTGCTTGTCCATGTTCTAGGAGAATACAGCAGTTACCAAAACAGACAAGTTTCTACTCATATCTCTCACATTCTAGCCAGGGGAGACCATACATATATCTCATTATGAAGTATGGTAGAAGCTGGTAAGTTCTATGGGGAAAATTAAGGCCAGATAAGGGGAAGGAGTGGTGGCAGGGGGCAGTCAGAACTTTAGATGCAGCAGTGGGGGGTCGTCATGCTGAGATAGTAACATTTGGGTAAAGATCTGAAGGAGGCGAATGTCGCTTCACCATTTCTTATATTCTCTGCTTCTGGATCTTTTACTAAACACAATCTCATCCTCTGTGTCTCTTAATTTTTTTTGGTATATTTTTGTCTCTTTCTGTGCTGTCCTGTGGAATTCCTCAGGACCATCTTCTAGTTTGCTAATTCTGTCTTTGTTCATTCCATGTCCAGGATTGCTGGTTGGTGTGTTCATACCTACACTTTTTGCATAATGTCTGCTTGTTTTATTTAGTAATCTTAGTTTTTAAATAGATTTTATTTCTTTATGTTTTAAAGACTTAAGAATACTTCTTTTAAAATTACTTCTAGAGGAATTATGGTGTCCCTTGGGAGTGAGGTCATATCGAAATGGTTGCTTTATTGCCTTTCCTAGATTTAGTTTCCCCCATGTGAATGGAAGCTTGCAGTCTAACAGCAAAAAATACTGTTTTATTTTTTTCCTTCTGAGTAACCTGCCTCCGCCTGGTCTAGATTTTTCTGGTTGCCTCCACACGGACCCTTGTGTTCCCAGTCCAAGATCAGGTTTTGTGTAGGTGGTTTCTGATCCATTAGCGTTATCCTAAATCTAGTCACTAAGCCAGCAGGAAGCTTGGCCCAGGTCCTGGCTGCAAGGCTCTGCCTGTATCCTGCAGGCTCTCTGGTGCATAGATTTTTATATAAGCTGTAGCCTCAGGCAATGACTAGCTTTTTAGTCTCCCTGGGGCTACTAGCTTCAACAGCTAGCTTGTCCTTTGTCCCCTTGCTGTTCTGCAGGAATGTCTGGCCTCTATTGCTTTTGGATCCAGAGCAGGTTGGATCTTAACTTTTCAAGCACTGAGAGGTATCTTTTTTAATGTCTTTTTTTCTCTTTCTGTTTTTCCCCATCATTGCTATATGTTGGTAGATGTTGGGTTCTCCCCAAGTACTGACTTACAATGTCATCAGTAACCTAAAGTCTGATTTGCCATGAACTCTATGACCTTTGGCTTTTTCCTTAGCGTCCCTGGGACTTCGTGTCTGCTGTTATTAATGTTTAGGTGTATTGCACAACTAGCTAATGATTCAGGTAAGGGAGAGCTAAGACTGGAAAGGGGAAATGCAGCTTGGAAGGTCAATTGAGGTTGGGTCACAGTTGGTCTTGAATGCCCAAGCTAATGAATGAGAAATTGGGTTAGTGGAAAATGGAGAGTCACAGATTGAGGGGATAAGTGAGGCCATGCTGTTGGGGGGTCTTTGAGGAGCAGAGGAAACAGGCCGGGAAGCCAGGATGACAACATCCTGGTACAGTTAGGCAGGAAAAGGCCAGAGCCAGCGTAGGAATGTTAGGGAAGGAGCGGTGGTAGGGGGAGAACATTACAGCCCCAGGCTGAGCAGGACCTGCCGCCCGACTGCATACGAGGTCAAGGGTAAAAGAAGCACCAGGGGGCTTAGAGCTTGACGGATTGTGAAGACTATTGTGCTGTCCATCAGCAGATACTGAGAAATCAGGAAGGAAGCAGGACGTGGGGGGCGTAAGCGGGTGCGCCTTCCATTCAGCCCTGCAACACCCGGCCGGCGGTGGGCGCCCCCTGGGCCGACAGCCCCTTACGGGCGCCCCCGGCATCGCAGCGGCGCAGCAGCTTCGCCGGCTCGCTTCATCCTCGCAGCAGTTTCTGAAGTGGGCTCCGCAGGGACACTTTCTGGATGAATGAAATTGAGGCTCAGAGGGGTTAAATAATTTGCTCAAAGTTAACACAGCACACACAGGGGAGGGCCAGAAGTCACACCCAGGTCTCTCTTTTTTAAATAAACTTTTCACTTAAAATAGTTTTAGATTTACAAAAAAGTTACAAAGGTATTACAGAGAGTCTCCGTACACCTCTCACCCAGGCTCCCCCATTGTTAACATCTTACAG